GAACTCGAGGTCAGTTATCTCGGTTATGAAATCTGTGATGTTGCTTGTGCTCTGTCCTTTGACCTCTGTATGACAGCTTTGCATCAGCTAAGTAGCCACAAATTCATCACCAAGAGATTTAATCCTGTTATCAGGGTTAAAACCTGCAGGGAATGTTAACACCTTCTCTAATTAATTGGCTCTATCCAAAAGTGATCTGGGATTTTTTTTTCCCAAATATATTTTTATTGATTTCAGAAAGGAAGGGAGAGGGAGAGAGAGAGAGAAACATCAATGATGAGAGAGAATCATTGATCAGCTGCTTCCTGCATGCCCCCTATTGGGAATTGAACCCTGGACCCTTCAGTCTGCAAGCCAGTTCTCTAGCTACTGAGCCAAACCAGCTAGGGCTGATTTGGGATTTTTGTTCCAGGTTCTTCTCATATAGTCTATACCTCAATTTGAGGCTGTGGGGTGCTTAAACAATAGAAACTTATTTTCTGACAGTTCTGAAGACTAGAAATCTGAGATGAAGATGTCAGCAGTGTTGGTTCTTTCTGAGGCCTCACCTCTCAGCTTGGCTTGCAGGTGGCAGTTCTCTCTGTCTTACATGGTTTTCCCTGTTTCTACTGCAACTCACTTTCAGAGGGACAGCTTGCTATCTAGAAGGTTTGTATCTTCCCTTGTCACAGACTTTAAGTTTCTCCTGAGATACATACCTGCTACTGTGCTGACCCCAGATTAAACTTAGTTAAATTACCAAGTGTTGATATGTGCCTTGTGAACAAAAGAAGCAACCAGAGATTTAGACTGTTCAAAACACTCTCAAACTTTCACTGTATAATAATGTCTGGCTTTATGCATATGTTTTGGCTTGGCCTGTCAGTATCAGGCCGAAACCAGCAGTCCGACATCCCCAAGGGATCCCGAACAGCTCTAGGACTATTTGCGTCAAAGAATTGCTATATCTAAATAATGTGAATGAGTGAAAGAAGGGATTTAGGAGTAAAAAAAAATGAACATATGTGTGCATTTATATATGAGGTAATATGGGAATTTTAAATCCACATAAATTCTAGGTGTCTTTTTCTAGTTCTTAAATGATATATGTATAAATGTCATGCTGGCCTTTACTATAGCATCGTCATACTAGAATGAGAATATGTGGGCAGTAATGATGCATTATAAAGTCCTCCCCCAATTTGACACCAAGATAGGATTGAAATAATTTTGGAACCCCTGGCATGTAAATGTACAGGGATACACATACATATATATCTAATATGCTAAGTGTCTGACCATTCGACTGGTAGCTATGACACACACTGACCACCAGGGGGCAGATGCTCAATGCATAGGCATGGAAACATGGAACAGACTGATGAATCTCAGGGGGAAGGAGGGAGGAAGGTGGGCGGGAAGAGATTAACCAAAGATCTTATATGCATACTAGAGGCCTGGTGCATGGATTCGTGCGCCAGTGAGGTCTCTTGGCTTGGCCTGTGCCCTCTTGCAAATTCCGGACCCCTCAGGGGATGTCGGACTGCTGGTTTCAGCCTGATCCCTGCAGGCTAGGCCGAGGGACCCCACCAGTGCACAAATTTGTACACCGGGCCAGTTTCAGCCAGATACCCGCAGGCCAGGCCAAGGGACCCCACTGATGCATGAATCCATGCACCAGGCCTCTAGTAAGATTATAATTATAAATTAAAGTATTGTGTATGTTGTTTCTTGCTCCTTCAGTGTCAGTTTTATAAAATATGTTTAACCTTTTTAATATATATTAAATCTATATGTATTTGATTTTCCAGTATTTTTTTCATTTACAAGTTAGCCAGGTAATTTGTGAGGGAATGTTTATTAAATCATTAAATATGATTTCTATTTGACTAGAAATTGAATTCATTTTGTTCATCTCTGATACCATTTGGGTGGGTGGTATCTTTAAAGAGCTTTTTGAATATTGTGAAGATTTATGAATATTTCCCCAGAAACAACACATACTCTTCATCTGTAATAATAAAAGTGTAATATGCTAATTAGACCAGACATCCTTCCGGACGTCCTCTTGGACGCCGGGGCTACGAGGGAAGCCTGGGTCCCAGATGCCTGCCAGTGGCCAGAGAGAAGCCCAGGCCCTGGGTGCCAGGCCCTGGGTGCCAGAGGGAAGCCGGTGCCGGCAGCCGGAAGTAGGAAGGCCTACTCTTGCACGAATTCCATGCATCGGGCCTCTAGTATATTATATTTCACAGTACAGTAGAGTACTAAAATTCTATTAAATTTTCTTCAAACAAAATAAACTATATATTTACCTCTGGAGATGTATGATCCTGTTATATCAGAAATACATAGACATGTGTGTTTGTTTTAGAAAGCACCATCATTGCTTTCTCTGTCAAGTTCATTGACTCCTTTATAAATAATATAGTTTGTTGTGAGAGTACCTTTGGGCCTTACAGGCAAAATTAAATAAAGAAATCTTGTAGAGAATTAATTCAGAAAAATCACCAGAAAATTATCTAAGCATAGAAAAATTTTGAAAACAAATTTGGACTAGTGTCTAAATTTCTGTAAAATTTTCATTTGATTTAAAATAATTTTACTTAATTTTTTAGTATGTCTATGTGTGTGTGTGTGTGTGTGTGTGTGTGTGTGTATGCATATTATATATAAAATATATATAAAAGCCTAAGTGATGGTTTGACCAGTAGCTATAATGCGCACTGACCACCAGGGGGCAGACACTCAATGCACAGGCATGGAAACATGGGACAGACTGATGAATCTCAGAGGGAAGGGGGGAAGGGGGAGGGCGAGAAGAGATTAAACAAAGATCTTATAGGCATACTAGATGCCCGGTGCACAGATTTGTGCACTGGTGGGGTCCCTTGGCCTGGACTGCTGGGATCAGGCCGAAACCAGCAGTCCGACATCCCCCAAGGGGTCCTGGAGTGTGAGAGGGCACAGGCCAGGCCAAGGGACCCCCTGGTGCACGAATCCATGCACCGGGCCTCTAGTTATATATAGAATGACTGTATATTTCAATGTCTATCAGAGTTGGTATGGTAGAGGGAAGCTGAGTGCTTTGGAGTCAGACATGAATTTCAGTGCTGGCCCTGTTACTTAAACTCCTGAGTCCCACCTGAAAAATAACAAAAATAATACTGGCTTTCAGTATTACCATATTCAGTAATAAAGCAGTGCCTTTTACATAAAAATGCACAAGAATGTCTCTACTGCCCCTTATTCCTTATTTAATTAAAATTTTAAAAAATGGAAGACTTTAAAAAATTGTTTGGCCTAACTTAGCCTTGTTTTCTTTTTAATTAAGATGAATAGGGAAAGTTTGCACTGTGGTGTCTTGCTCTGTTTCACTGTGAACCTGCTCTGTTGCCTGCATCCATCCATCCCTCTGAGGTCTCTCTCTAGACCAGTTGTGTCTAATAGAAGTTTCTGTTACAGGAGAGCTTCCTTCCTGCTGCCAAGAAGGCCATTTAAATATAAGTGGAATTAGCTACAAATTACACAAATGTAATGTGTGAAGTCTCTTTCATATGCTCTTTGTGTGAGTGAATACACCATGGTACCTCATGTCTAACATGAAATGTGAAAATGTATCCAGGCACCTTTTTTCTTTTTTTCTTTTTTTAAACAACACATGGATGTATTCACTTTAAAGTTTTCTAATACCGATAAGACGTTTTCTTCATGGCTCCTGTGAAGTGTCATCTCTTGTTCTGGCAATGATAGATTGGTTATCCCCAATGAACTTGTGTATATAAAATATTTAAATCCTTTAGGACAAAATATGAAAATCACCATTTGACTTCCTTCTCTCACTGAATACTTAGAAATGCTTGTTTTCAGACTTGATAGTGAAAACACTTTGTTAATCATTATTTTGTACTAAATTTGAAGTGGTCAAAGAAATAGTCACTTATAAATAATATTCAGGAGTCAGGGAGATTTAAAGACAAAAGTTAATAATAATACCCTTGCTTATTAGTGTTTACTTTCTTACTCATGAGGCATTTTGTCAACCTCTGAATGTTTACATAAAGGTAGTGTAGGGGTGGGGGAACTGGGTTAAGGGATGGGCAGGGGATTTTCCTTGAAGTTGTGTTTATACAAGCAACACTGTTTTTACTTAGTTTGTCCTTTTATTGTTAAAGATCAATAAAAATAGCAATGTTTTTCTAAATGTGTTTTTATTCACAAGTTACATACAAATTTTCATACTTATTGTTTTTCTTAGGGGAGATGGTTTCAAAAACTGAGATAGAGATTATTGGGGTGAGTGGCAAAGGCACCTCCCCACCCCCACGATCCCCAGCTACCATCTGGTGGCCACACTGTAATGAGGTGGAGGCTCCGCAGAGGGTGGTGGTGCTAGAGCAGGACAGGGGAGAGGACCGCCCAAAGGTGTGGCAACACCCTCTTCCCACATCAGTAAGGACTGTGAGGGCCTCCCCAGCATGCTAGGTGGTAACAGCTGCTCATGCTTGGCTAACAGTCCAGCGTGACTTGTCACATTGTGGTTCTCACAGCAATTCTAGCAGGAAGGTAGGTATATGGTCCTCATTTTAAAGAGGAGGAAACTGAGGCTCAGAAAATTTAAGTGTTTTCCTGATGCTGGGAGGTCGGATGCAAACTCCACTCACCACTGCTCTTGTCCTCCCTGATGGGACACAGATTTGCAGTTTCTGAACAGCAGGCATGAAGAAAGCAAAACAGGATCTCTGATTTATATCATTTTGCCAATCAAAGGTTATTAAAATCCCAAGTTTTGTTCTTAAAACACTGTTTTAAAAATGTTAACAACTTAAAAGCCCAACGGTCTTTCATTTCCACTGCTGTTTGCAGCCTGGAGCCTGGGCCAGGCTCTACGTGGAGAGGACAGGACACTGGGCAGGGCAGTGAGGCCTCCCCAGTGCAGAGCCTGCTGTGCAGCAGGAGAGAGAAAACAGTGGTAACAATCGCCGGTCTGGGTAATGTGATCTGGTCTTCATACCTTCACTCAGGTGGAGCCCGAGAAGCTGAAGACACTAACAGAAGGTTTAGAAGCCTACAGCCGAGCCCGGAAAAGAAACAGAAAGTAAGCTCTATTATTTTTCTTCCCATTTTTTAAGTAATAAACTTTGGGTTTATTTCTTTATTTTTTATTGATTTCAGAGAGAAAGGGAGAGGGGGGAGAGAGAGATCCCACACTGGGGATCAAGCCTGCAACCCGGGCATGTGCCCCGACTGGGAATCAAACCATGACCTCCCTCCCGGTTCATAGGTCGATGCTCAACCACTGAGCAACACCGTCCAGGCCCATTTAGTATTTTAAGGATATAATTTACTGGTTTTCCTTCAAACGACAATGAAATCTCACTGATTAAGAACAGGTTGATAGTTATCACCAAAGAGGCCCATTATAGACAAACCAAATTAGCTGTTTCAGAAAATATTTTCTTAGCAATTTATACCAGGGGAGGGGATGGAGGGTTTGGTGTGTATCGGCTCTTTCCTAACTCCCTCCATCTCCATTCCTCTGATTCAGTGGACAAGGAAATATGATTAATAGTCTCAACATGTAGCAATTAAATGGTCTCTGAAAGTAGAGCAAAAAGTCTACCATTTACAGTTTGGCAAATTAGTCAAAGTGATGGTAAAGAATTATTTTTTCTCTTGGGGCAGATGCAGTAAGTTCTCTTTGAAACTGTAACAAGAAGATGAACTTTGGGACATTATTTTTCAAGTTTTTCCAGATCTTCATATTCTGAGTAAATGTTCAAGCAAATAATGCTTGGAGCACAGTTTCCACTATAATACAATGTGGTTTTGTGTATCATAACTTATTTTTTAAAATTTATCTTTATTGTTGAAAGTATTACAGGTGTCCCCTTTTTATTTTATTTTGAGGTAAAGAACTTCAAATGTTGCTTCTGTGTGTGTACATGAAAAATTATTTTCAAATATATATAACTGACAGACCTGTTCAGATACTACAGTTTTCATATTACGTATCAGACATCCAAGAATTATGAAACCAGAATGCTTAGGCGTGCCCTTTGTGTAAATACCTATTCAAGGGCACTCTAGTTCTTTTACTGGGGTCGTCAATAATTCTTGCCAGAGGTAAAATTTTAGAACTCCACAGATCTTGGGGAGACTCTTTATCTCACTGGAATGTCTCCTAGCAGGGTGTCAACTGCAAGGGCCAGCTCCTATGCTGGACTCCAGTGTTGGCACTGGCTGGACGAGGGCCCAGGGAATGGGCAGATTCACTGCAGAGCTGATGAGGAACGCAGTGAGGCGGGTGCCCTCTGCTCTGAAAGAGACTCTTCCTGTGGAGGCTCGGTAGTAGGATAAGGCCTATCCAATTAATATAAGATCTGAATGAAAGGAGAGGAATTGCAAATTACCTACATCCCAAATTCACAATGGGCTGTTTACTATAGAGTGTCAACTGTACTTGTTTATTTGATGTAAAAAAAAAATCTCTAAAATCTTTCTTCCAGTGAGGCATGCGGGTTAGTTGGATTATGAACAGAATACTGAAAGCATAGTTGATAATGCAGAAATGAAATAACTCCTCCAAATTTTTTGATATTCTGCCTTGAAATAAGCTGTATTTTCCCCCACAAATTTGTTACTATGCAATTTCTGCAAGGTATTGAGTAACAAACAGTGGTTTAACAATTTTTTCTTCAAAACCAGTTTACTATTTGTAGTGAATTATCTAAAGTAACTCTGATGAAACCGTAAACTTAGCGTGCAGGCTAAAGAGGTAAAGAAGAAATTATGAAGCACACATCAGTAAAAACAGATTTATTTATACCATTCTCTAAGTAGACTGACTTGCCTTGCAAATGCCCAGAAGAATAGTTTACACTTTGCATGTGTGGTTTATGCAATCACAAGGTGGGCCAGAATCACTGAGCCCATTTATAGATGAGGACACTCAGACCCAAATCGCTTAAATAATTAGTGGAAGGTCACATGAGTGATAAATGATATGTTGAATCCAGTCATTTATTTATTCCCCAATTTAAGGAAACTAATTTACCACAAAAAAAAAATGCCAGGCACAGTACTGCAGGATCTGGAGCTCACTGATGAAGAAGACAGATCCAGAAACAAACAAAATGCTAAAATTGCAGGGATAGCAATGTGTGTAGTCTATTTTGAGATCATAGAGAAGCGGCATTAAACTCGGGGACAGGAAGACTTCCTGGAGCAGATGATCTCTACCTAGGTGTGAACCAGATGAAAGAAACAAGGACTGCAGTGGGGTGGGGTGGGCTGGGAGAGTGTTTAGATGAGATCAACAGTTGGAACTGGAACTATAAAACGTCAGAAGCTGTAAGAGATGTAACCACAGGTGTAAGCAGGAACTAGACCGTAAGGGCCCAGTGCAGGCCCATGGGATCCTTGATCTTATTGGAAGTGCCTGAAGGGGACAGGATTTTTACTTTAGAAATGGCTGTATGGAGGATAAATTGTAGGGGAACAATTCTGGAGGCAGGAAGATGATTTAGGAGGCCACAGTAGAAGACAAGGGAGATGGGGACTCACACCAGGAAGAGCACAATGCAGATGGAGGAGGAGGAGCGTGGCATAGAAATATCTGGGAGGTAACATTAACAGAGCATCCTGGTGACTGACTGGCCTGTGAAGGAGAGTAAGCAATCAAGGACAACTGTCAAGGTTTTGGCTTGGATGTCCTGGTGGGTGGCGGAAACCCTGACTGGAATGGAGAAGACAGGGAGAACTGTAGGGTGCTGTGTGGGTGCCTGTGGGATAGGTTGGACACTCAGGTCTGAAACGGGGGAGAAACTGTATTTGACATTGTAAAAACGGCCGTGATCACAGAGAGATACCTTGGCCGGATTGAACACGGGGGCATTTGAACACTTACTGCAGATACTGAAGAAGATGGGCAGAAAGGAGGGGGATCATCAGTGGTAGGAGAGTAGGGTGTTAGAAGCCAAAGACTAAAAGTTTGGGGATGATAGAGTGCTCAACAGAGGTCCCATAAGACAAAAATTGAGACATCTCCATGGACTGGGCAGTTTGGAGGCCAGTGGTCACCTTAGTGAAACCGGTTTCCACTGGAGTAGTGGCTATAAAAACAAAGTGGCCATGGGTTGCTACCATTAATGTGAGAAGTTCCTGAAAAACAACAATAGAAAATTTTTAAGGTTACAAAGATTTGACTGCTTTTGTAGACTGAGGGGAAAAGAACAGAGGAAGAGACTGCACGCGGAAGATGGTACTGAACAAGATTGTTACGCGGTTGGTTTTTGATCTGAGTTGAAATCCTGTTTCTTTCACTTCATTCCTCTGTGCCCGTGGGCATGTTGCTTAACCTCTCTGAGCCTAAATTCTTCATTTCTAAAAGAGGCTTGGTAATACCTACCTTTTAGGGTTTTTGTAACATAGATAACATAATTAGAGCCTTAACATAGTACTTGGTACATAGTAAATATTTAGTGAATAGTTATTATTATAATAAAGATACAGGTGAAAGAAACAAAAGTATCTGATATTTATGCAGTTGAAATATTCTATCACCATATTAAATGTTTAAAACTTTATGTAGTCATTTTATTCCTCAATATCCTACAAACTGTACAATAAAATATCTTTAAACTTACATGCTTATTACAGCCTAACCGCAAAAGAAATATTAACATATTTATTGATGACACTACTCAGGGTCATTTTGTACTTAAAAAAGGAAATAGCTTTGTTCAAGAAAAATTCCATAGCTTTAAGGATGTTATGGTTTTCATTTATGTGAAGATAAAAATATCTGTCTTATACGTACATATAAATTATTTGGTAACCTGATTTTTACAAAGCTGGAAAATGATAATAAAACAAATCATACTTTTAGTTTAAAACCAAGAAATAATACTTAGTGTGTAAAATTTTCTTAAATCTTCATACTTTATGATAATGTTTTAGAGTCTAAGGTTCTTGACCTTTAAGTCTTCCCCAAATTTGTTCTGTTCTGCATGAAGTTGCCCAGATTTTAAACTGACAGTGTAGAGCAACATGCAATTTCTCATTTCCCTCTTATTTCTTGTACCATTCACAGATGTGTACCTGGCTTTTTTTTTTTAATTAGTGAAGAAAAGGATAATGTGTGACAATATAGGCAATGGAGATGAGAAGTGGCAATTATCTCCATTAATAACTAGAAATGTGATTATATGAGCATCAATTGCTTAATCAAGTAGGTTTTAGAGTGTCCATTAGTAAAAATGTTTATTATTAAATGTCAGCGGGATATAGAAAATAGTAGAAGAGACACCACAGGGAGGCCCTGTGGACTGGAGGGCTGAATTTTGACTAATTGTTCATTTCAGGAACTCATGGAGTTTTTTCTTCCTCTTTTAAGCTCATTTCCCCCCTGCCTGACAAGGGAGTGTAAAAGTTGGTCCGGAGATTTGACATTTGGGACAGTCACTCTTTGATTCTCATGATATATTCAAGTAGTTTCATGCCCCGCATCTCTGTATCTATCCTGTCTTCCAAGATATCTATCCACTTCTTCCTCTATTAACTACTTAAGTTTGTTAAAGAAAAATAATATTATACTAATTTAGCTTAAATTAATACAAGGTACTTACAAACATTTTAAATACCTTGTTGAAGAATGAGATTGCAGACTCCTAAAATTCTATTTAACAAGTAATATTAAATTATTTATCTTCTTTAATGGTGATGTTATTGTAATTTTTAATTAAATTTATTGGAGCAACATTGGTTAATAGGATCCCATAGGTTTTAGATACAGAGTTCTATATACAAGATCTGTATATTGCACTGTGTGCCCACCAACCAAAGTCAAATCTTCTTTCATATATTAGGCCTCCTTCATCCCTCTCCCCACCCCCTCCCCCTTCCCTCTGGCAACCACCAACCACACTGCTGTCCATGAGTTTCAGTTTTATATCCCACATGAGTGAAATCATATGGTTCTTAGCTTTTTTCCGACTGGCTTATTTCATTTAGCATAATATTCTCAAGGTCTGTCCATGTTGATGGCTCTTATCAACAAGACAAGTAATAACAAGTGTTGGAGAAGTGGTGGAGAAAAGGGAACCCTCGTTCACTGCTGGTGGGAATGTAGATTAGTACAGCCACTATAATTTTTAATAGTTACATAAAAAATTTTATAACTCTGTTTATTACTTTTAAAACTAGGTATACTTAAATATTCATCTTCCTCGTTGCAAAATTAAAATTGGTTTCACCAGTTCCCCCTACAAAAGTCATAAGGTATTGCATGCAAACAGTTGTCATAATACCTATCTTTTAGGATTGTTGTATGGGTTAAATAAGATAATGATGTAAAGATTTAACACAATTCTTGGCACAGAAAATTTTCAATAGATAGTAGTTATTTTTGTTATTGAGGTAAAGGTGAGAGAAACAAGATTCTCTGATGTTTTTTCATGAAAACATTTTACCATCTTTTTAGATATTTAGAATCTTATGTAGTCAATTTTAAACCCATCAGACCTTATCATCAAAATGTGTAACAAAGAAATATATTTTAAAACTTATGTTCATACTTTTCAATACAAAAGAAATAGTAAGGATAAATCTGTTTAGCACATAATACAAGGTGTAATACTGTTGGGCAACTAGGCAATGTGTGATACTATCAAGACCTTCTCCAAACAGCCCACAAAAACCTCAGCTAAGCGTAGGCGGCCCTGCAGTCCTGAGCCTGGATTCCTGCCCAGTCACCCAGAATTCTGCCTAGCCAACTCCTCACTGCGAACACAGGGCAGACTGACTCCCCTAGATACCCTGGCCCTCTTAAAACCAAAATGGGTAGGTAAATAAAAACAGTATATAACAGGTTATATCAGTTTGGACAGTGCTCCAAACAATAATAAGGGGGGGAGGGGAGATAAGTTGCAGAATGGTGTGTATTATCAGGGCACCATTGGGAGATATATATATATATATATATTTAAAAGTTGATAAGACAATCCTAGGTACTGTTTATGGATAATCATATAAAATATGAACATATTCTAGAAGGATATGCAACACAGTTGCCTTTGAGAGGAGGGTGGGAGAGAATGGGCCTGGGAATTGATGACAAATGGGAACTTCAACTTTAATTTTTTAAAGAAAAAGGACTTAAATATGTCATCTGTTAACAGTCTGTTCTTGGAAATGGGTTTGTTAGTTGTTCATTTATTTTATGCACTTTTCTGCATTGCTTAGATTTCTGAACATACCTGGGAAATATAGAAGCTGGAGGCTAGCTTACAGGTCAACAAAGGTGGGTGGAAGAGGCTTGGTGTCACGTTACCCTTATAATGTGGTTACAGCCAATGCATTCATCTTTCCTTTCAGTTAAACTGACTTAAGTGCATACTATATGTTTTCCAAAATATAGGGCCAGCATGCTACCTTTGGACACATATTTTTATTTAGTAAATATAGGCATCATGATGTGCCCAGCCGTGTGCTACTCAGGGATGGAAGACTCAGAGTTCTTCAAGGTATACCCAGAAGCTAGGTGTATGAATGGTCAGCGCTGGTATGTGAGGATACCAGGCGAGGAGTGTGGTGAGCCTAAAGGCCTCATCTAAAGGCAAATGCATTTTTAAACAGGTTGTGAGCCAAATTAAATGGGACTGTGAGCCAAATTCTTCTGCATTTGTAAATTCTGATCTCCCTGTGGATGCTGTGATACAGTTTAACCCTTGGAAAGCTCTGCAGCTTTTCTCATAGTTGTCCTGGGAAGATAAATGAAATGGGTCACCTTACTCAGAATAACTGGGTAATTACTTATATGCATAAAGCAGGGGAAATAAGTTAACAGAATGGACAAAGGGTACGTGACTGCAGAGGTGGCTAGTGTGGATTTGCCTGCGTTTAGTAATTAGTCCAACAGCTTCCCAGATGTAAGTTTCAATCAAGGCAGCTGTGCTGTGCGTGTTATTCAGGCCAAACATGTGTAAAGGAATGCTGAGTGGGGAGAAGAGGTCAGGCAAGTGATAGACACTCTGAGACCGTCATTCTTTATCTGTTCAAACAGTTATGCCATTTGGGTTTGGGGGAAAATGGGGTGGGCTCCCCGCGTGGAGGGAGCCTTGGGTGTGGCCAGTTCTGCAGCCAGTTCCCATCTGAGTATCAGCCTTCACTAGCTTCCTGAAGCCAGGAGCTCCAGAGAAGGTAGAGGGAGCTCCCTAGTGGCCAGAGCCCGCAGTTCAGCCCCTCCACCCTTCCCTTTGGCCACATGCCTGGCTGCTGCCCGAAAAGAAACAAGCCAGAACCAGAAGCAACGCAGGACCGGCTGGAGGATAAGCTGCGTCTGTGGGAAAGAGACCCATGGCCCAAATTCCTTGCAAAATTATCAGACGTGGAAGAAGCATGTGGAAGGGGAGAGAATCCGTTTTCCCCAATCGTGTGTTCAATCCCCGCCCCCCGCATAGATCTGCTATTTTATCGTCAGCCTTCAGTGGTGAGAATTCCAGAGTGTGTTGTCATCTGAATTTTCCAAATGTGAATATAAGTTGATTTTTCTCTGGTGGAATTGGCACTTCTGTTTTCTGATTAGGGAATTAAATTGCCGTTTTGTTTCTTTAATTTATTAATCTGATGTGTTGTTTTCATTAATTCTAGAAGTGGAAAGCTAAATAACCATTTAGAAGCTGCTATTCATGAGGCCATGAGTGAACTGGACAAAATGTCTGGGACTGTAAGTTAATTTATTTTTCCATTATACTGTGTTTCTTTGAAAATAAATTGTATTACACTTTTTTGCTATAGTCTCTAAAATATTGTCAAGCAACTCATGTAGCAATACTAAATTACTAGGCTCTAAAGAAGACTGATACCAGAAAAGATCCAAAAGTAATTAAAAAAAATAACCTAGCAGTATTAACTATGTCTTTTTCTGAGATAAGTAACTTTTTTCCCCCTGCATATAACATTTTTTTAAAATATGAGCAACAAAATATTGAATTCAAACCACCGCTTTCTGCATTGGACTCTGAATAGCCGTGGCCATTAATGTTGCCTAAATATTCACTGATGCAAATTTTGTCCATAGAACAAAAAAGTGAAATTGAACAAGATCAAGGTCAAGATCAACAGTTCATAGACCTCTCATTTCCTTTCTACTGTTAGCTAAAAAATAAAATATTTGGCACAAAACTCTGTTGTTAAGCTAATTAACACTATAACCTCTGGTTTTAGAGAAGTAGTATCTACTTTTTCTTCCCTTTATTGAACAGTGCATTTAACAGTGTTGAATGTAAGCAATTTAATCATTATCCTCTAATTCACTAATGTAAACACTCAAAGTATAATTTTGGTAATCGTTTTAAATATGTGACATATCTAAAGCTATTCAGCTCTGAAAGGTCATTTCTTTTCCTTTTCCTTTTTCTTGACACTTTGTGCTAACACGGTTATCTGAGAGCCATCCAGTGGCTATTGCGTGACAGGTGTATGTTATAGACTCACAGAATGTTGGGATTGGTGTGGACTTTAGAGACTCTGTGATCCAACCCATCACTTCACAGATGGGCAAAGTGAGGCCCTGAGATGTTAAATTTCCTGACAGAAAAGTCTGGAACTAGGATTATACACTCAAATGCCTTCTAGGACCAAGCAAATAATACCCATAGGTAAGGTGAGTCAGGTGTGAGGAAAACAGCAGTTCTCGTGGACTGAGACGTGCCAACCCAGACACACTGGTGAGATCAGGCTGCCCGCCACTGCCAGTCTTAGAGGCTCTGCACAGTAACTGCTCGCTGCCGTCTGGTTCTGATTGGGGGCAGTCTTGCTCCACACAGTGTTTCAGGGGCCCAGGTTCTTTAGCATCCACTGTTCCTTAGAGCCTCAGGCTACTCCATTATAATCTTGGCATCGAGCCCAGCAGCCTCGAGAAGAGAGTGCACACAGAGCACCAACAGGGTAGGTTTTACGGGCCAGGCCTGGCAGACATCACTCCTGCTGACTCTCGGCCTGACCCAAGCATGTGGCCTTTTTTTAAAAAAACACACACACATAGTTTTATTGATTTCAGAGAGGAAGAGAGAGAGAGAGAGAGAGAGAGAGAGAGAAACATCCATGATGAGAGAGCATCATTGATCAGCTGCCTCCTGCATACCCCCCACTGGGGATCAAGCCCGCAACCCGGGCATGTGCCCTTGACCGGAATCGAACCTGGGATCCTTCAGTCCGCAGGCTGACGCTCTATCCACTGAGCCAAATCGGCTAGGGCTCATGTGGCCTTCTTAACTCATGGACGAGGACATGCCTTATACAAGGTGCCTGCTAAGGAAGAAGAGAAAATGGGTTTAGCGAGCATCTCACTAGTGCCTGCCTCAGGACATTGGCCTCTGTGGCCAGGGGACGGTCTTGGGCCACGGGGACTGTGGCAATCGGAGCGTGAGCCCCCTGCAGGAGCGGCTCCTTATTTTCCTGAGATGCTAGAAGTCTAGAAATAAACTCTCTCTCTCTCTCTCTCTCTCTCTCTCTCGTGTTGACAACTATTTTTAAAATAGTAAAACATTGGATGGCTAAACAAAATACCTTTTCATGGGTTACTAGTTTATATTCTTGAATAATGGCTTTCCTTTATTATAAAAAGATTTCAGTTATAACTCCTTATCAGAGGCTATGATTTTTAAAAATGTGTAGGAAAGGGTTAAGAGGAAGAGGCATTTTGAAAAAATGCATAAATGTTATTTTTAAAATTTAAATATTATTTTTTAAGAAGTCTTCTGCATTTGACCCTGAATAACACTGACCTTTGCTAGTATCTAAATGTTATTTTTTAAAACATACAATAGAGCCAACTTGTGAATATCACGAGCTGATTGTGTACATCTCTTTCTAACTCTTAGTTCTGTGAGATCACATTGGTAGCTTGAAATCGACCATGGTGGAAGTATTTACACTGCGGAAATTGGCATGTGCTGCCATGTATTTGTGTCCCTCCACAGGGAGCTAGCTAGTTGTTAATCATTTGCTAAGCCGCTGCCTTGGGTCCATCCTGCTTTTCCTGCATCTTGACCTTTCCCTTTCTCATCAGTAGCCACAATACAACATGGGGCACCTGATCACCCCTCTAACACCTGTCCTCTGCCCCTCGAAACCACAACACCTGCTTTCTGATACCTGGCGATCATGCTCCTCGTTTGATTCGCCTCTGCTCAATCTGATACACAGCCCTGAATCCTGCTAGATTCTGTGTTAGTTTATAAAGACGACTTGTATTAATTGCTCTTCCCAGACTACACAAGCTCAAATCTGCCAACAGATGGTAGTGGTGTTCCATTTTCCATCCTGACTCTTCTCATAAATAAACTTCTTGGGCCAAGGTTCTTACAATTTTTGACCCTTCTTAGTAGTTGTAAAATAAGTAGGGTGATGAGTGAAGGAGAAAACATGGCTGGTGTGTATTCACCCACTTTCCAGGTCCTGGTGGCATTGATGACCTAGGACTCTCTGACAGGAAAGGCCCTGTTTTCATCTTCAATGTACAGCAGCAATGGCAACTGCGCATCGCCTTTCCCGCGCTTGAATTTTCCCAGTTCCTCCTTTATGTTCCACTGTTGTGGGGTCCACAGAGTGCTGCTCTGCTTCCAAGTTTCCAGGATTCCTCATATTCTGTAGTGACCGTGGGCACATTGAGATCTAGGGTCTTGGTAAACATTTTAAACACCCAACGAAAGCAATGATTTTCAAATAAAAGCCTGAGTCTGTTTCCTACGTTTCTGTGTCAGAAATCAGATGGTATTTATGATTTCAACCTCTCTTGTTGTTTTCCCACCTCTTTATTTCCAGGTTCACCAAATCCCACATGGAGACAGACAAATGAGGCCCCCCAAACCCAAGAGGAGGAAGATCTCCAGATAACAGGGACTACTCCACCATGCACAGTGTTGATGAAAGGAACGTGCACAGATATATCTGTATATAGGTATTGATATAGCCACCGTTATATCAATATTTATACTATGGCAGAGAGCTACATCCACCACAGGGTGCTAAAAGAAACAGTGATACAATATTTTTTTGATCAGGAAGGATAATGAATGCTGGAAAAACCAATCAAAATCCCTGAGTGATGGGCGTGATAAATGGTCAAGAGATGACTGAGAAACCCTTTTTTTCTATAACACTAAAATTGTGATTATAAGAGATAGTCCAAATGTTTCTGAAGACTTTTCAATGTTGTATATAGAAAATACAGAATTTCATGGTGATATCAGAAATGTAAATATTGTACAATATTGTCATGTACAAGCGTACTTAATGCACACTTTATCTTTTATTGTACAAAGAAATAGTGTACAAAATTCTTTGGTTTCTATGGAGTACACCTACCAGAGACTACCAGTGTAAAGTGATGAATAAAAATACAACCTAAATGCTTTTCTATGATAATGTAAAAGATGCTGTTTTTGTATTTAACAGCAGAGAAAAGGCATGATGATGTGTATTCCCTGAATTATGACATACACTGCACACCACTGAGTGTCCATTTATATTGTCTGTTTGGACGCACCTGGCCTGCAAGCACTGGACTTGACCTCGGGTGTCTAGGAAGTCGAAACCTTGCGGATTTCTAAAGGGTTGAGGGCTCACAGGTCTAAATTAAGAATTCAGAAACTGCAACCATTTGTTGCATATTTTTTTTACCTAAGTTTTAAAGTAGAATAGGTTTTATAAAAAAAAAAAATCTTGGAATATTTTACTCAGTCATTTCTGTAGGTAACGTTTGATAGCCACCTATTGAACTAGATTGCTTATGCTGCACCACCGTGATGCTCAGAGCTAAGTTTCTTTGCAAACAATACCTGATAAGATAAAACTTTCTTCTGTTCCTGTACATGGAGGCTAAAGCCCCACTTTGAAATCATCATCAGAGGGAAGGTTGGTTATAATTCAGTTTTCCTTTGGGGGCAAAAAGAAATATGAATCATCAAAGCAAGTTTCATATATCCATCCATTTATCAGTATTACTTAATCCGCAAGCTAAGGTGGCTTTCAAAATTATTAGCAATGGTAATTTTTTATCAGTATTATGTAACATATCAGATTTATTTTATTTAAAGAATTATTTATACCATTAACAGATTCTTATATATATATATATATATTAATGTGGCTGAAATGTGCAGGTTAAATCTATTAACCAAATTATTTATATTATATTAAATAAGAAACAAATTTGAAACAAATGTAGAAAGAAAATACTACATTACAAGTATACAAGCCTAAAACTGTGAGCCATTGTAAAGTACAAGGTTATTAATAAGAAATGTAGCACAACATAATTTTCTGTCTTTTTTTTTTTTCACAATTTTTGTGGTGGTGGTATAACCCTATCTCCCAAGCAATTGAACAAATTTTCAGGCCTCCAGCCAGGCTTCTGTTGATGTATTGTCAAAAGAAGTCCATTATTCCTTTATTTTTCCTACGACCAGCCCCACCCCCAAATTCTTACTCCCCTAGGGAGCGCTGCCTTGTCCCCCTAGCCAGGGCTCACTCAACAGCTTAGTGATCAGGCTGCTGGGAGGCCCTCCAATAGCTTACCCTTACTCCTCCTCTCTTATCCATCCCCCAAACTCCTCAGTCCCATGACGTAGCAGAGTTCCAGTAACTCAGGAAAAAGGAGACCAAGGTCATTCCTCCAACTGGTTTCTTGGGGCCACAGTACAGAACACTCCCCCTGGGCTGTTCTGTAATATCAGCAGCTCTGAATTCTTCCCCCAGGTCTCCTGTGTCTCTGTGTCCTTTCCACTCCCACCCTCAGCCCTGTCCCCAAGAAACTGGCCACACTGGGCTCCATGGGCTGGAGGGAGGGACCCTTCCTTCTGGGGTAGGTTCGTTTTGTCTTTCCCCAGTCCTAGAGTCATCTTTTGTGTAGTTGAGTTGGCACATTTTTGTAATTAGTTGATGTGTTCAGTGTGTTTCAACCATTAACGTTGTCCATTTTTTGTGCACCAATCTGCTTTTCTACTGTTTTGTTTTATATGATTGATTTCAGTCACAGATAGGTGCCTATGTCTATCTGGGCATGTGTGTGTGTGTGTGTGTGTGTGTGTGTGTGTGTGTGTGTGTGTTTTGATATGTACAAATTTCTTCAGCCTTTGCTTTTTTGACTTCAGACTGAGTTTGTGTCAATCAAGCCTTCTTTTTGATATTTTAAACTAACTGGGTTTGTGCTTCCCCCACCCATGTATACTTTACATCAGTAGACCATGTAAAGTATGTTTGCACCCATGATTTCATTGGCTGCTCACAGCTTTGATGTGGGTGTTATGTGTGGTTGTTTCAGTCCACCAGGGTTTTTTCCCCCCTTTCTCTTTTACAGTTATATGATTTCATGTAAGCAGTTAATGTAAACATTGTTGGCATGACAGGTCATGCAGTGCTGTAACATTTTTTTTAAATGTTGCACCTACTTTACAATTAAAAAACTGGTCACCATACTTAAATTTTGCCCATAGAGCCATTTCTTTCTCTTTGTATTAAAGCCAATTCATTTTTTTTAAATGAAGGCTAGCCCTTCTACATTGTACATTTTTTTTATTCCCTAAAATAAACTTTTCCCCCTAATATATCTGAGAATGGAAACAGAATGAAAATGTTTTGCTCCTTTTAAGAACTTAATAGCTCCCCTTGAAAAAGGCAAACTGATTTTATTCTGTTCCCCTAACAGTCTTAGGAAGCACAAGGAGAATAAACTATACCTTTATGTAGTTTCCAAAGATTATTTCCAACAAGTGGAAATTAACAGAGCAGCTCTTGTTTGATTTGTCTTGTTTGTGGCATTAAAAACAATCAGGGTTTTTATTTATTTAAAGGAACATTTCAATTCTATTGTGAATATCAATACTTTAAGAAGAATATTCATCCCTTGTGATATCATGGGCCACTTTTCGTCTTTTAATTAGACCCTGACTTTGAGTAATTTGCTGTGTCCGTTTTTTTAAGTAATCACAACCTTCAGTTTTGAACATACAGCATAATTGTGGGAGGAGCAGAGGGCAGTTTTTTGTTTTCCGTTAAGTTTTATGAAAATTCTCAACTGACTTATCCCATGAGGAGATTCCTTTTTCATTTCAGAGTGCAGTTACTTTGGTAATCGTCCGTGCTGTGTGCAACGTTCCTGTGTAAGTCACAGGCCATTCTGCACTGAGATTTTAAAATCTAAGATGCGTAAGATGCTAGTGACATTGCTCTTTGTGCAAAGAAAGCCAAGGATTCTAGACCTTACCGAAAATCTGAAATCTTGTTTACATTGCCCATTTTTGCCCAAATAGTGTAACACAAGACTCAAGACATGTCACTGTCATGTATAAAATGAGTTATGCAATACTTTATTGATGTGGGGGCTGTGGCCAAATTAATAACCTGATATTAAGAACTGTAATATTGAATTAGTTTATCTTTTTCTTTCATTCACTCTATCACATTTGCATTAGCCAAAGAGATAAGAACATTAGTAATTCATGTGTGTAAAAAAAAAAACCCTAGTGATTTTTAAATCAGTGAGCCAAAAAGCAATAAACAATTCCAGCATGGGATATCCTGCTAAGAGTAGGGAGTCGGATGGAGAAAAAATATACAAAAAGCATTTTCTTAAATATGAAAGATTAATTTGTATCTACTGTAAATATGTATTATCAGCCTTACCTGCTTTTATACACACTGTGTGTGTACTTCAGTGACCTTTTATAAACCGGGAAAAAAAATGGTTGATTTACTGATTTGTTATGTAAATACAAAGTTGTCTATAAATTGGAAAATTTGATGCCGGATGGCTTCACAATATACAAATGTGTTTTGTAACATCATGCCTTTATGGATTAAGTATAAATACACTGATTGTCTGTATAGAAAAGTAGCAATTTACATTTCACCTGCATTTCAAATGAATATCTTTATCCAAATGGTTATAGCCTTAGGAAAAATAAGTGACATCAACATTTTCATTGCAGAAAAACAAATATGGTTTTGAATTCACCAAAATTCCTTTTCACACTCAAGAGTCTTTTCAGTTCCATGCTAAATGCCTTGTATTAGGAGATTTCCATAGGTGGTTTGATTCATCGATCCAGGTCTGGGCTCTACCTAGGAAACCTTCCCAAACTGAATTGTTCTACTTTAGAGACAGGCTGTGCATCTTAATTTCTAAATCATAGGCAGAGAAAAAGCCACAGCCACCTTATTGCTTTTGACTTGTTCTTTTCTGCTTTAGTTCATATGTCTTAGAAACACCACACAGATAGTCAGGGCCTAGTTCTCATGTTCCAGGAGTGTCATCTCAGCTTGGGGCTTGTCGGCCTTGGCACCGGTAACATTTGGGTGAGATCATGCGTTGTTGCGGGGGCTGTCCTGGGCATTGTAGGATGTTTGGCAGCCTCCCTGGTCTCTACCCACCAGATGCCAGTAGCTTCCCTTCCAAATTGTGACAATCAGAAGCGATGCCACACATTGCCAAATGTCTCCTGGAGGGGGACCTGGGGGCGGGGGACAAAATGAGATTTGAAAACCACTGCCTTAACAGAATCAGTTAGGGAACATATGTCTGTCTGAAGTACGCCATGTTTTGCATGCTGAATCTGCAGGAAACGGATTCCTAGATCAAAATCCAAAACAAAATCCATGCCAAGGGTGAGCTTCTTGATCCATGATTAAGGAAGGGAACACATGAGCTTTGGCTTTATTTTGAACACATTTGACACTTTGATGCTAAGACCCAGAACAATCATGTTTTGAGAACTCTCAGATAAGGCTCAGGAGAGTCACCTGAATTCTGTGGTCCCGAGTTTCCGAGAAGACTGATGGTCCACGCTGGGTAATGCAAGGGGCTTCCAGCAGTGGGAGGCTGCCCAGGGCTAGTGTAGCTGCCTCCCTTGGTGAAGATGAGGAAGCTGGCAAAGGAGGCCCTGTTCTGCGTGTATTTTAACAGCTCTCTGCAGCGGCCTGGTTCAGGAATCGATCGTTTCTGTGTGACCCTCTTAAAAGTTCTGATAGAAGCAGTTCAGGAGACCTTGGAGATATCATGGATAAATATATTCATTCAATAAATATTCATGGACACCTGCTCTATGCCCCAACCTGTGTGGCAAGGGGGATGCAATAGTGAATAAGACAGACCCCTTCTTTGCCCTCACAACAGCTGCCCAAGGAGGTAGCCAATTAACGTGTAAGTACAACAGAAGGTGGTAGGGCTGGGATAGGGAAGCCCATCACAGGCCCCTGGCCCCATTTAATGGGGCTGGGGCTTCAGTGGGGATCAAGGAAGATGAATAAGATTAGTCGGGCACAGGAGATATGTGTGACGTGGAGGAAGGTAAATGAGAGCAAGTTGGGGGCAGAGAGAACAGGTGTGTAAGGCTTGGAGCTAAGGAGTGTGAGAGGAGAATAGAGTGCAAAAGGGAATTATGAAGAGAAATAGAGTGAAAGGCAAAGTCGGGGAGGGGTCTAGGCAAGTTTTGTCAAGAGTTTGCCCTTGAGCACCATAGTAATGGGGAACTATTGTAGGGTTTTTTTGTGGGGGGGGGATATAATCAGGTTTGTGTTTTTAAAAGATTATTCTGACTGTAGTGTGAAGAAGAGGCATTTGCAGGAGGACAACACCGACGAGCATAGACCTCGTGTCAAGTGCAGCATTTTTACTTAGCATGTACGTCCTCAGAAACCAACATAAAATATGGGGGCCACTCTACTACTTCTTCTTACATTTGTTGAGCAAGTTCCACCCCAGTCTTGAGGGGTGTGCAATGTACATGTGCAAATTCACTTCAGTAGCCATGAAGACATGCTCATCAGTACACTTATGTTTTTTGCCAACAACATGAATTCCCTATTTTATTTTTTATTTTATTTTTTACACAAATGAGTGTGCTGTTGGCCTAGCAATAGTGTTTCCACTTTGATGATCAGAGGATGGGAAAGTTAAAATCTAAAGCCTCTTGTGAAAGTGTTAGAAAGCAAGGCCTGCAAACCAGCATGCACAGGTAAATGAGGGTCAGGTCACACCTCTGGAGTGAGCATTCATCCCTCACACATCCACAGGAAACAGGAAGCTGCAGAGGAGCACGCAACATGCCGGGGGTACCAGGTGAGCACAGAAGGCTATGAAAGCACAGGAAAGGGGAACACAGGGAGTCAGAGCCCAGGACAAGGCCATCTGGCTTCATGGACCTCTGCCCCACAGCAGGGGCGGCCACAGTGGCCTTTCATCATCCGTTCCATGCCCTTCAAAGTATTCCCAGCCACAATTAGTCACCTCCTACATTCAGTGAACATTGAACTTGAGGGTTCTTCCAAGCTAATTATCGGTTTTAAAAGAAAAAAAAAGCAGAGGCAATGCAATAACAGGCATCCAATTCTACGATCCAGAGACCAGCAAATAGGCCTTCCCTCCGGCACGGGCCCTCTGCACAGGAAATGGACCCTCGACGGGGAGACGGTCCATCATAAAGTTTACAAATTGGGCTCTGGAGGGCGATTGTCTGCACACAAATCTAGGCTGTGCCACTAACTAGTTGCTTGACTTTGGGCAAGTTACTCAGCCTATCCATGTTTTGTTTCATCTACAAAAGGGGATAATAATAGCACTTTCCTTGTGGGATTGATTAAAGATCAGATGAGATCATGCAGCTCTGGGTGCCTGGTATGAAAGATTCAGATTAGAACAGGGAACTTCCTGCCAGTGAAAGTGTCGCACATAAGGAGGACTTGTGTCTAGAGGTGCTGTGTCTTCCCCAAAAGCCCTGAAGGGTAAGAGAGTGGTTGGCCTGTCCAGGGCAGTTCTGACAAAGCAAACTGCACCACGGAGGTGTCTGCTTCTCCCTCCCAGCTCGCAGATTCTGGACGGACCGCCCAGGGTGTTTCTTAGGTGAACTCCACTGTCCATAATGCTACAGGCAGAACTAGACCAGCAAAGTGATTTCCCAGGAAACTGGTCTGCAAAATGATTTCTCCAAGAAGCTAAGTGCATGGCTGTGGTAACCAGAGCAGAAACAGCTTCTAACCTTCATCCTCAGAGTGAAATTGGAAAGGGCTCTTCAAATAAGTGGCTCAAGATGTGAAAATTTTAAACAAAATCAGTCCAATCAGGGAAAGCACAGTTTAGTACAGGGAAAAGTGTATTTGACTTAAAGTGAAATTTGGGGTCCGCGTTCTTTTTAAAAAAATGTATTGCTATTGATTTCAGAGAGGAAGGGAGAGAGAGATAGAAATCAATTATGAGAGAAAAATCACTAATAGGCTGCCTCCTGCATGTCCCCTCCCTGCCCCCTACTGGGGATGGAGCCTGAAACCTGGTCATGTGGCCTGACCAGGAATCGAACTGTGATCTCCTGGTTCATAGGTCGATGATCAACCACTGAGCCACACCAGCCTAGTCCTTGGTGCAGACTGACTCTTGATCATTAGAGAAACCCTGAGGCCTCCTCCAAGGTGTGAATCCAGGCATTCAGGAGCCCTGTGCCTTCAGGCAAATTACCACCTCCCAGCCTTTGTTTCATCATCTGAAAAATGGGGACAATAGAACCTACCTCTTAAAATTGCTTGAGGATTAAATATATGAATCTATGTGAGCGGCAGGCATACAGTAAGCGCTATGCAGGTCTGGCTATTATTATCATTATTACTGTTAGTAATAGAGGCTGAGCCACACTGACTTCCTTCACCGTAGATGGGAATGGTGTAGCCCTCATGTATCTTAAAGAAAGAGCCAGTCTTCTGTGGGGTGGTCACTTAAGAGGATCCTACTATTCATGTTTAACCATTTATTTCTCTTTCCTGATTTAAACACAGGTGCTCTTGAGAGGAGCAAGGTTTTGAACCAAGCACGAGTCAGGAAGCTCCCAGAAGTTTGAGAGTTCGGGGTGGGGGCAGGGGGGACGGGGAGGAGGAAAATGCTTATACTTTCACAGGATTCACTATGCTCAGAAGACAAGCATGACCATGAAAAGAGATGGTGCCCTGAGCCATGCTTTTAGAAGGGGAAAGAACGAATAACCCACAGTCATAGTATTTATAAGTGCTATTAAGGATTATTATTGATTTCTCAATTGGAAGTTCATATCTAAGTATTATACTTAGAATATTCAGACTGTGAAACCTTAGGTACATCTTGCTAAGTGTTGGGGGCGGGGGGTGGGGTTCAGAATTTGCCAAACACAGATGCAGATAAATGGTTTAGCTAAACACTTAGCTCCCAGGGCCTCAAGCTGTCCTGTCTGCTCAGCTGCTGCACACTGCGTGCGCGCGGGGCCAGGACAACTGGTCGCCTGAAGCTTTGGTCCCTGGAGTGTGACTCTGTCCCCCAGGACATAGCTTTCGCTGCCAAGGTGATCTTTCCTAGCTGTCGTGGTCCGGGGTGTTAGCCTTTGGAAATCACCTGTGACCTTTTACAGGCTCTGTCCCCCTTTTCCAATCAAAGAGGGATTATCTCGAAATGTTAGGTTCTTTCAAATTTCAAAACAAGCCTGGAGGTTCAGGCGCTCATGATTTCAGGCTGATTCTGACTGTTCTGATGAATTTGGCAAAGAACTGGAAGCAAAAATTCACAGAAGCTGGAGAAGGAGGCGTGCGAGAGGCAGCCTGGAGAATGGACTGGCTCTCTGTGGACAAGCCATCTGCCCAGCCGAGTCGGCAAAGACGAAGAGACACTGTTTTGTCCCCTTTCTCTTGGATTTCCAGCTCTTCCCACGTGTCCAAGGCCATCATGGAGCAGGTGAGGCGTCCAGGAAGGAGGGGAAAGTGCGCCTTGTGCCTCGTAAGGCAACTGGGTCAGCCAAAGAGATCAGGCTGCAGCCACTGCCTCAGGAGGG